AGTATAGGGATCGTGGTCCGGTGGGTTTATGTCACTGGGAGAGTCGTTCAAAGGGAAGAAAGGTCGGGTCGGACACGGCGTTTTCGTGATGTAGGGCAACGGTTTCTGGAGAAGTCAGAGGAAGAAGAAGAGTATCGAATGGTAAGAGTGGAAGCAAGCGGCCAACACGGCGCCAACGGGATGCAAGACGGGAGGAAGACTTGAGCCAGGAGCAAAGGTTCAGTTCTCGGCGACGCCCACATTGGTGGGCATGTCATGCCAAGCTCTCCCTTTTGTGGAGCCAGCGAGCGAAGACCGCTATGGAAGGTGCTGGCGGGGAGGCTGTAGAGGCCCAGCTAGTGTAGGTCTGGCCCCTTTCGGCCTGCCACCGCCGGGGGGGTCGGCTCTACCTGGCTGGGTAGGCAATGGGAATCTGGGGTAGGTATGGTAGGTACCTAGCTAGCACGATGCACGCCCAGCTGACTTCTTCCCCGGAGCTGTAGCGGTTGCTGCCGATGCTGTCGCTGGGTACATAGGTAGCTCTGAGAGGTCAGGCTCTCGATGTTCGCAGGACGTCCTCCCAAAGCTGGATACATATTGTACTCCAAGGTGTTGGAAGTGACTCGTATCCTAGGTTCATAAAGGCCAGATAACCTTTTCTTCAAGCTCGTCTGTCAAGTACCTAGGCAGCAATTCGTTCATCTGCCTGCGCACGGAGGGTCCCGCCCCTTTGTCGAGAAGGACCTTCTGGGTCAGATGCATCACTGTCCTGTTGACTGTGTACCCGCAGAATGATGTTCATAGATAACGGGTCACACTTTGCAATAACAAGGCCACCCATCTCATCTTTTTCATTGGCCTTCCCCTGTGTAAATGTAGTACCGTCTGCCTTACCCACCCTTTGGCGACCTTCCACGTACTTCAAGTGAAGCTCCAGGGCAAATGCAGGTACTCAGTGGTCCGTGCGCGGTGCTCGTCGCAACGCCGCCAGCGACGGGTGAAAGGTGAAGGAATGGACAGGCCCCCCCCCCCCATGCGCCTGCCGCCTGGATCGTCATCCAGCTCCATCCAGTTCCCTCTCAGCTTTCCGTTCTACTACCACCTTATTCATCAACAAGGGAAGGCCCACCCAGACTTCTCTCCTCCCATCTTCCCTCATTCATCTGGCTCTACCGATCCTTGTCCATTGACCACCCAATACCTCAAGACTTAGTGAACAAGGGACTCGACACTCTTCCGAACGTCCTTCACCCTACCAAGACGCGCTTTAGCTAGACGCGCCTACTCCTCGTAGCATCCCCATCATCAACTGTCGCATCCATCCTCCGCCCCAAGCTCGACTCGAATACACCTCACAATGGCCGACTACAACTCAATGAAGGTCCCTGAGCTCAAGAAGCTGCTCCAGACCCGCTCCCTCTCCGTCACAGGCAACAAGGCCGATCTTGTCGCCCGTCTCGCCGAGAACGACAAGCAGAACGCGCCTAGTACGTGAAGCCCTACCGTGTCGACGACTTCATCCTTCGGTTGTCTTCTTCATTCTTTCGCGCGCACACCGTTCCTCCCTGCCGAAACGAACTTTCCGAAGCTGACCACATCAACTCTCCTAAAACAGCGGCCGCCGAGCCCGCCGCCGCCGCACCAGTTGCCGCCGAAGCTAACGACGCCGAAATCACCTGGTCCGAGGACGAGGAGGAGCCCGCGAAGCCAGCCGCCGTAAAGGCTGCCGCGCCCGCGCCCGCCGCCGCTCCGGCTGCTGCTACCACAGAGACAGTTCCCGCTCCGGCCGCCGAGACTGCCACGGCCGCTCCTGCAGTGTCCGCCGAGGCACCTGCTACCGAAACCGCCGCGCCCGCAGAGCCTGAGGCGCCCAAAGAGAACTTCGCCCTGAACCTCAACGCGACCGACGCCTCGGAGGAGACGAAGAAGCGCGCCGAACGCGCCAAGCGCTTTGGCATCACCGCCGACGACTCTGCCGACACCGAAGCCAAGAAGAAGGCCGAGCGCGCCGCGCGCTTCGGCGCCGACTCGAACGACATTGCCTCCAGTCTCGATGCCGCGCTCCCCGAGCGCAGGCTCATGCGCGGACGCGGCGAAGGAGACCAGCAGCAGGGCGGCAGGACGCCAAGAAGGCAGAACGCCGCCAACGGTGATCGCAGGGGACTGGTCTCCAGCAGGGACAGCGCGAGCAGCAGCAGGGCGGAACGCCGCCAGCAGCCG